ATCCTTTAATTTCAACATTAGGTATATTAGGATATGAGATTCCTATACGTAAGCACGATTATCGAAAATCTAAAAATTACCTATTCTAATTAAATTAATAGATAATTTTAAGATTTTCGATAATCGTGCTTATCTATGAGATGTTTTCGTTAGTTAGCAAATTAAAGTAGTTAAGTACCTACCTAATGTACTACCTGTATCGAAAGTTCATTATTATGTACCTACCTGTTTCCAATTTTAACTAAATGTGCTTCAACAAACTTATGGGAACATTTTAGCAGCTATATTCATCCCGGCTTCAGCAGTGGACACGAACAAAAAAAGGAAGCAATTTTTCTAAATAAAGATGTAGATATGTAGGTATTACAACCATAAATAGATAGCAGCGGCTAACCTAGTGAGTATGTGTGGGTGCGCACTGCGTCCCCCCTCCGTCCGTCCCACTGATCGGGGAAACAATTTGTAGCGAAAGGCAAGACGTTTTATAACAAAAACGGGCGCGCGAAATTTTATAAACAGACCTTTGGTAGTCTGGATGTCACGAAAAATCTATTGAGTGTATCTGTTTAAAATAAAATTATTTGCATTTTTGAACAACTAATCTATCCCTGTATGGTAACTGTTCTGTAATTTTCGTTCTTCTTATGGTATTTATTTCCGCCCAAAGATGTGTTAAAAATAATGTTGAAATTCGGAATTTTCGACGTTTATAACTTTTAAATATACTCTTTTTTTACTTTTTTGTTTCCATACAGGGCTAGATAATGATGAGACCAATTGAAATCATTTTTTATTTTGAACGTACACCATCAAACAGTGGAGTTATCGCCGGACTACGTTTGTATGGAAGAATAAGCGACTAGTGTACCCTTAATATAGGGTAAAACACCCGGTAGTCAGCGCTGTGCCAGTACTCAGCCTTTACAGACATTATTTCCTTATAAATAGTGCTGTTATTTGTCTACACCTTTAAAATAACGTTTAATTGAATCCATGTCTCCTTATTGGTTTATTATGCACACCTACGAACCAATAGCTCATCACGTTGGTGAGCTATACTTGTTAATTTACACTGCTGTCAAAGACACGACTAGACGCATCGCTTTTGCAATTTTTTTCTTGAGAAAACGCGCTCGAATATTCGTTAAGTTTTTGGGTGTATTTGCTGTAATTTATGGTAGATTGTTGTACTGTTTTACACTAAAATGATTATTCTGTCATAAAGTCATACAAATAAATGCATTTTATTTGTTTGATATGTTGTAATTTAGGTGGCCGACTACCGGGTTTCGAATTTTTAGGGTAGATGCAGTACTCAGCCTTAAGTGGCTGACTACTGGTTTTTTCATGATTTTCTTACATGTGGTTGAGATTGCCGAAGCGAATAGTCCCAATTTTGCACATTACTTTCGGTTTAACTCTTATGAGACGAAAAGTGTATTTTACCAATAGTCGACCGCGTACGAATGTAATTGCATATCGGGGGCCGACCAATGGGTCTACAAATCCAGTACTCAGCCGTTAGTCTTGTTGCATAAAATAGTACCTTAAAGCCTTTTAGTTTGGGTTGAATTTATGCACGGTTATTTTAGCGTGAATATCATTTTTTTATAATTGTTTTAGAATTCCATAATGTCAAAAAGACCAATCCACCAATACAAAGAAGAGCAATTAATACAAGCTATGACTACGAAAAATAGTAAAATAGGAAGAAAAATACATGTACAATAAACAGAATAAGATGCAACAACTGTGAAGAAGAATTGACTAGCGATACAGAAATTAATGACTTAAAAAATATTGGATGTGACAATTGCCTTGCATGGTATCATTTAAACTGTACTGAATTCGCTGGGGAAATATATGAAAATATATATAAAATAAAGAATTTTTATGTCAAATATGCAAGAATAAATGAGAGGCTGACTACAGGGTAAGACATGGCTGACTTGTGGAGAAATGAGGCTGACTACTGGTGAAAAGTGCCATAATTTGTTTACTACTGATTTTTTATATAATTCTATTATAAATATATTTTTTTGTTAATTTCTTTAGTAAATTTAATAAACAACTTTTCTAAAAATAATGATTGTTTTTGTTCATAGTGTTCAATATTTAAAATACAATTGAATCAAATTTTAGTCCTCACTAAAAGGCTGACTACTGGGTGTTTTACCCTAAGTCTTTTGAAAATAAAAAAGTGTTTAATTTTACAGATCTTTTTAAATATAAAATGACTTATTTCATTATGTGACACAATAGCATATTTTCAGTTTATTTTTGTAGTCCACTTTTCAAAATAGGATAAAAACTGTACGAAGATTTCAGAATAAAAAAGACCTAAGACGTAAACGGTCTAAAAAAACAAACAGTTTCAGTATAATACTGACTTAAATTGGGAACCTTTTTAAAAACCTTAATTTGCTTTTATTTTACTAAAGATAAACCTAACTTAATACAGAAAGCAAATAATTGATAGGTTTACATATAAAATTAATTAATTATATCAATCCAAAGTTGAAAGTTTGCAGTTTCAAAACTTCGTTTTTGTTTACCCAAAAACATGTTTTTTTGAGATACGTCACTACTATTCTGAAGGTACGATAAGACCTATTTAATATTTATGTACTCGTACCACAATTACCACATTAACACGATGAAATGTTTAAGTAATACGTATGTCCTAATAGGACAGTCCTATAATCGCAAATATCTCAAATAAATGGAACCTATCTGCACAGGATATGCAGACGGCTCGACGAAAAATAAATTTTTAAGCCTTTCAAAAGTCCACTGCTGAACGTCGAACATTACAATCTGTAAGCCTTAATGACTCGCAGTGCGGTCAAACCACAGCGCGTGTTAAAATACCACTAGCGCCATCTGCACATTGGAATTGTGGACTTTAATGGTTGCAATTACTAACACTACTACTGCCCTCTACTGACGCAAAGTTCGAGTCTGTAAAAGAAAATTACGAATGCATGACTTCCGAAAAATAATGACAAGAATTCCCAAGATCTATATTTTGTTAAATTGGGTCATTTCTCAACAACACAGTCCCTCACTACGAGATTATTAATGTCAAGTTTGTGCACTTATAAATTTGGCGCCATTTTTTTTCTTACCTTTTCTTTGCCTGTTGATGCAAATTACGACGTGCAAAGTGTTAAAAATTAGTTTATTCGTGTTTATTCGTTGTGTAAATGACAATAATAGTGAATAGTTCAGTTTATTTAGTGTAGGTATATAAAAACTGATCTCAGCCATTATGGCGGACTCACGCAAAATGAAAACTAGTAATTTATGGAATTGTTTTGAAGATACTGGAGATGGTGTAAATAAGGTCGCAATTTGTAAGTTATGTAAATCTAAGCTTAGCTACAAATCTTCAACTTCCAATTTAAAAAAAAACACTTGGAGCGAAAACATCCAACTGTGCAGTTTGTTTCTACAGAACAGTCAGTCCAATCTGTTCCTACTGCACCAACTACGTCAGAATCCTACCGATGACATACGATGGCTTCCACCTCCAGCGCGAATGTGCAGCAACAGCAACTACAAAATTCAAATGTGCCAACTACGTCAACGGCCAATTCTGATATTATGACAAATTGTATAAGTAATACCAACATACAAAACATTAATTCCCGTATATTATTACAGTATCAACCTATGACTAAATACATAAAAAGGAAACTTACACCAAACGAAAAAAAAAAGGTTAGATGATCTGTTGATGCTGCATTTCATTTATGATTATCAGCGTTTTTCAATCGTCGAAGATAGAGGATTTAAGGCCTTTGTTGAAGGATTGAATCCCTCGTACACCTTACCGAACAGGAAGGTGTACTCTCAAACAATTATCTGCCTGCACTTTACGAGACATGTTTAACATAAACTAAAGAGAAACTTGAGCGTGAAGCACTTAGTGTTTGTTTAACTTCATGTCAATAATTTCGGAAATAATCGCTCCAAAAGTAAAAAACAATGTGCCCCCCCCCCTCTAACTTTTGAACCATAAGTTTAGAAAATATGAAAAAAATCTGAAAAGTAGAACTTTATAAAGACTTTCTAGAAAAATCATTTTGAACTTGGATGGAAACAACAGTACCCACTACCGGGAGCAGTTCCAGGAGCGCGGAGCGCTGCTGGAGCGCGAACATAATGGATACCTTTATACTCATAAGTGGGAACACCTATTGTGACGGACGGGAAACTACGGAACCCAACACTGAGCGTTGCCCAGACACGCTCTTGGCCGGTTTTTATTAAAGAGCATATTCTATTCTTTACTTTAGTCATACATATATTGCGGTTGGAATATTTAATATACCTAAACTTTGAACAAAAAATCGATTAAAGATAAGAAATGTTCATATTTTGTGGCAGATCGCGCAAAAACTATAAATGATATCGCTTTCGTATGTATAAAAGGTTAATAGAAAATTCATCATGGATCATTTCATACCTCCACACTTTTCATGTACCGTGTACAGTTATCTTTAAAACTGAAGAAAACCGCGTTTTGGGGCACTTTCGATGCGTATTTAGGACTCACAGCCCACTATACTGGTTATATGAGGAGTTTACTTTGAAGTCAGTCTTATTAGAATGCGCACCTCTGAGTGGTTCACATACGGCCAAAAATATCAAAGAAAATGTATTACGTATTCTTCAAAATTGGAAACTGAAAGACAAAGTTCTAATCGTTGTCACGGGCAATGCTAGTAACATGAAATGTGCTGTTGAAAAATTGGGCTATAAGCATTTCGGATGTTATGCCCATTCAATAAATGTAATAGTGAGAAGTTGTACCACTGAAAGCACTGCAAACGAAGCAATATCAGGAGTAATCACGAAAGTTAAAAGTATTGTAGCACATTACAAACGAAGTGTAAAAGCCACTGAAAAGTTACTAATATACCAAAAACAAAATAGTATTGCAATCCAGAAAGGTTCTTCAGGATGTATCTACTAGATGGAATTCTACTTTAAAGATGTCACAATGCTTTGTGGATTTGGAAGAAGCTATTAAAGCTACAATGGCTTTGACAGACGAGGAATGGGATACCTTGACAGCCGAAGAATGGCGTTTATGTCGCGAGTTATGCACTGTACTCAAGCCTTTTGAACAGATAACTGAAGCGATGAGCGGGGAACAATACGTATATGGGATTCAAATACTCATTTTAACTAGAGGTCCGATTTCGGCACTGAATAAAATGCTTCAGGTTCAGGAGGAAGATTTTGCGGACAGTCTTCACGAAATAACTAAAAACCTAATACGTTCTTTGAGATCGGAGACTGAAAGATGATTCGCTATCAGCTTGTTTCGACAATGTTAGATCCACGATTCAAATTACATGTGTTTAGAAACCAGGTTTACGCAGCTGATATTAAAAAAACAGTAATTGACCTTGTCACTACCAATATAAATAAAAATTTGCCAGTTCAGCAAAGAGAAGATGTGGACGCCCCTGAAGAACCCATAGCAAAAAGAAATAAGTTTGATATTTGGGACGAATATGATACCATAGTAAACACAGTGCGCCCTGAAGGTACACCTAGATCGCAGGCAGTGCTGGAAGTACAGAGATATCTAGAGTTACCAGTTACAGGAAGACAGCAAGATCCATTAGAATGGTGAAAGACTTTCAAGCATAGCTTTCCCAATTTAGCAGTTTTGGCCAGAAAGAAATTAAATTTTATGGCTACTTCTGTACCCTGTGAGAGGCTCTTTTCTAAAGCAGGAAGTATTATGAACGAGAGACGTACAAGGCTTGGTATTAGAAAAATGCAACAGCTTTTATTTTTAAATTCTAATTATAAAATCAAATAAAAATTTGAAATAGTAGGTATATAGTAAAAATGTAAATAATGTACATATAAAATCAATTTAAATAGTTGATCAAATATAAAACATGCCGCCTATTCTTTAAATTATGCGCCAGTCCTAAGCCTGTGTAGTGTGAAGGATCTTACGATCAAATTAACTATAAGTACAGTCGCCAGCGCATCAAGCTAAAATGTTGGTGGTTAAGTTCAAAATCGAATGAAAAAAAATTGACAGGTTGTAGTAGCTTGATGCGCTGGCGACTGTACTCGAACAATTTTGCACGCAATTTTTTAACACCCTGTTACCTTGTATAAAATAATACGTGTAGGTACACTAGCTTCCGCCCGCGACTTCATCCACATGATGTACGGGAAGTTATCCCAAGTGATCCCCAATATTAGCGGGATAAAAAGTATCCTATATGTTAATCCAGGTAATAAACTACATGTACGCAAAATTTAATCGAAATCCGTCTAGCCGTTTATACTATCTCGTTACAGACTAACATCCATACATTCTCACAACTTTAGTACTAAAGTAATAATTAGAAGGATATATTATCACCGACTCGGTAATAATATATCCTTCTAATTATTACTTTAGTAGTAGTCACCGAGATAGATGTACTTTATTCTTTATTCTGCATTACTGCTGCAGGCGATAGTTTTTATTGATACAGCGAATAATAAGCGACTAAATATCAAATCCTGTATAATCAACCACATTACAAAACGTTCCAAATACCTATTCTGTTACCAATCCGACGTACTGATGAGACGTATTTACGCTACCAGGTTTTAAAACCAGGTTTTCGCTTCAAAGTACGGCGCCCTGGTACGGGCAAAAAATACTTGCAAGTATGAAAGTATGTGTTGTAAGTCAGATGCTCGAAGAACTTGAACACAACACATGAAAATACTTGCATAGGAAAACGATCCATATCTTAATAGAAATAAGAAACACAATCGTATTTGTGAATAAAAAATACTTTGAACTTCAAAGTATTTTTTTATTTATACGACTTTGCTCCTTGTTCATAGTAGGATAACATGGAATACGGGTCGTATTCCTATGCAAGTATTTTAAAGTATTTCCAAATTTTGACACCGAAAGCAACACGGGGTTCGCTCGACGCGTTGGCGGGAGGCACTCGCAGAGAGTAGGTTGTCGAGCCCTAGTATTTCCGACGAAGGCCGAAAGATTGAACGGAAATCTGTGTAGGTACTTAATGAACAAGCCATCCGATCGGATCGGGAACTTGTCAATCAAATAAGCTAACTAAAACGAAACTAATTAAGGAGCATAATTGCCTAAACATGCTATTCATAAAATTTCTTTTGACTATTTTGCACCATTCACCCTTATATCTGTATACAAAAGAGACATTATTGCGTGTATTTTATTTATTCGTAAATAAGAGAATTATGTTTATGTTCGAGGAAGTAAAAGTTTTGTTTCGATTTTTTGTAAATTCAGTTGTTATTGCGAACTGAGTACGTAACCTACTGACCGTGACATAATTTTTAAAATTATTTTGTGTGTTTATTGAATTTAGAGACAATTTTTAAAGTTTTATTAATTAATGTTTAAGTACGTAAATAAATAAAACTGAACATTATTGTGTTTATTAGTTGAAAATGACGATGTTTAAACTGTAAATAATAGTGTGTAAATAGTGTTTTTTGTGTATAGATCATAGGTTCTTGTTGTGAATAGTAAATAGATCTTCGTACATACAAATCCATAAGTACCTATGGTTCCTAAGAAAAGTTTGGCGTGGGATCATTTTTTGGAAAAAGGAGAAAATAAAGCCGAATGCAAGATGTGTAAAGTAAGTATATCGTACAAATCTGGAGTATCAAACCTTACCAAACATGTACAGAGAAAACATATTTCTGTTAATTTAATGAGAAGGGAGCAAGAGGTACCGGCGCATGTTTTACAAAGTAGGTACATAATTTACAATTTCCAATACTCCACTGCAAACTGACGCACCACCTAATACGATAAGGTCCAATACAGCCACTATGCCCACTATCTCGGCATTCCTTCGACGCGATTGTCAAAAAATAAAAAAGCAAATTGATGATCATTTGATGAATTTGTTTATATGGGACTTGCAGCCATTTTCTATAGTGGAAGACAAGGGATTTCGCGAATTAATAAAGTTTGCTTTCCCAAATTATATTATACCATCGCGAAAATATTTCGCCAATAATTTATTGCGGGGGTGGTATGAGGAGTTAAAACTAATACTAAAGCAGCTCTAAGTGAAGATGCAAAAAGTATATGCTTAACGACTGATATGTGGACGTCGAGAAATGATGACTCGTATTTAGCGGTTACGGGTCATTATATTGATAAAAATTATAGTTTGCAATCAATGCTCCTTGAATGTAAAGTGTTAGAGTCGTCACACAGGGCTAAATTTAGCCGAAGAGTTAAGAAATGTCGCTCAAGAGTGGAATATTCTTAACAAAGTCCTCCTTGCAGTATCAAATAACGGTGCCAACATCAAAAGTGCTATAGATCAATTAGAGTGGAAATATTTTGGCTGTTATGCGCACACGCTTAACCTGGCAGTCCAAAAAGTATTAGGAAGTTCTTACATAAGCGATTTAATTAGTAAAGTGAAGGCTATAGTTTCCTATTTCAAACGAAGTAATTTAGCATGGAATAAATTGAAAAAATATCAAGAACAGGCTAATAAAGTCGTAAAGAGGCCAATCCAAGATGTTGTTACAAGGTGGAACTCCACATTCTACATGTTACAGGTTCGTGGAACTAAAAGACGAAAAGAATATGTCAGTCGTTGATCATAGTGTTGCAACCGTGTGAAGAAGTGACGAGAGAAATGAGCGACCAAAGATATGTAAGTGGAAGCTCAGTCATTCCGTTAACAATTGGTCTCACCAGCGCTCTCAACGAGATCGCCAGTCTGACATATCGGCAAGAAAATAACATTGACGTTTTCCCTGATGAAGTTGAAATGTGGCGACAGGATCATCTCCTCTCAGAAATAAGCACGCGATTTTCTAATTTGGAACAGAGTCGAACCTACACTGTTGCTATGTTTTTAGACCCGAGGTATAAGTTATACTTTGAGAGTGAAAACGTTGCGGACAATACGAAAAAGAATATCATAGGCCTAGTAACCACTATGATTAATGAAAATGAAAGATGTCTGTCTTCAGCATCAACTTCTGATGAGCCAGATAACCAGGGACAAAAATCTAACAGTCTGTTATGGAAGCACTACAACAGGCAAATGCAAAATGTACGACCAGCTGGAACCGCCAATAGCAGGGCAATCATTGAAACCCAAAAATATCTAGATGACACAGTTTTGTCTCCAGATCCTTTGGAGTGGTGGCGAATATATCAGACAATTTATCCAAATTTAGCTAAACTAGCCAAAATAAAATTAAACGCAATGGCCTTGTGAACGGTTGTTTTCCGTAGCAGGAAACATACTAACGGAGAGGAGGATCCGTCTGGGGAGTCGTAAAGTAGAACAGTTATTGTTTCTACAACAAAATAAAAAAATAACAAAAAAAAATATACAAGAAAAACTAAAATAACAAAAAAAATACGAAATCATGTATATATATAATATGAAATCTTTTAACTACGCCTGCTAATACAAGTTTCTATTCTAGCTCATGTCAAAATACTGTAAAACCACAGAATATAATATATTCTCAAATGTTATTTAGCAGACAGTCCTAAGCCTATGATAAAAAGTAGGAAGGAAAGATTTCATTTCGTTAATAAAAAATTAAAAAACGTTCAATCATAATACTCGTAATTGTGGCCGGACTCAAACTAGTCATTCATATTATTATATTGACATTAAGGCTACAGTCTTTTAAAGTTGACTCACATCGAATCATTAGCGCCACTTTGATTTCTTTTTTTACAGCAAATTATTGTTTCAGAGTAAAATATTTTGATAACACATAAATACCCAGATTATAAGTAATGGCTAATTTTTTTTTTTTGGTTCATCTATGTGGTCTATGTTAGATAAATCAAACGGTAAATAGAGCTCTCTCGCACCCAACGCAATTTCGAGCTTTGTTCGTGTACCATTATAAGGCAATCGATAATAAAAAGGCGAAATCTATTCAGCGCGTTAATAGCTAAACATCTTCATCTCCAAAATGCGCTGTTTCTTTTTTTCTAAATATCTTTCATTGTCTTAAATAAGAGGTCTCAATTTCGTTAAATTTCGCTGTTTTCGCCTCATAAAAAACTATTTGTTTCATAGCAATAGCTGAAAATATTTATGCTATAATTATTTTTTTCTCAAGGGCAGGTGTTTAATTAGACAAATATTAAAAAATAATAATTTAAACCACTTTATTTCAAAATTAATAATTATTTCGATCGACCTATAAAATATTAACTTTATAAACAATAATTGCGGGCAATATTCCTTATAGTGTTGCCAATTTAGCATATTATATGCTAAATTTGACATATTTTCTTCTTGTTTAGCATATTTTTTTTGCTTTTAGCATATAGCATATTATTTCAGCATATTCTTATAAAACATGAAAAGAATGTAAATTACAATCTTTCTTGAAATAAAATTTGATATCGATACCTACCTCAATCAATTTCCCACTTCACTACTAGTGATTCACTAGCATGGCAACCCTTTTTTGAAGCGAATATAATATTCTCTGTGCTACGGGATTCCCCTTAGACATAGAGAATGGACTGAGCCCTTATTCAGGTATAAAGTAAATATGGACGAAGTACAAGAGAGACAAAGCGAATGTGCCGCCAGTTATTGTCTCTTTCTACGCCTTACCTGCGCCTTGCAGAAAATACACATGTATTGGCCGCGTATTCACTTTGTCTCTTTCTAGAGAGTGGTCAGTTTTGTGAGGGTGATGTCTATGGGATAGAATTCCCTTACTATTATCCATTCCCCAGCGCCTACGTCGCTTTCTGTCAAAAACATTGTTTATTGTTGTGGATGTGGACTCACTCATATCGTCGTCTCGTCTTATCCGTGTTTTCGTGTTCCTTTTTTATAATTTGATATTTTTATTATGGTGCCTAAGTATAGTCAACATTACCGGGCAGACTGGGAGAAAATGGCAGACTTTAAAGAGTGGTTGCAGCCCGTTGAAAACGATACTTCGAAAGCGTACTGTAAGTATTGTAAATGCGAAATGATTGCAAAATTGTCTGTTTTGAGGCTACATATTTCATCAGCAAAGCACAGAAAAGCAATAGAGCCAATGAAGAGTCAAAAAAAAATTAACTTCCCTAAAGTAAAAAAAGATCTGAATACCCAGAAAGCAGAATCTTCGCTGGCTTTGTTTGTTTGCGAGCACTGTGCAATTATGGCTGTAGATCATTTATCGGAACTATGCAAATACCGATTTGTCGACAGCAAATACAGCGACATCAAGTTACATCGAACCAAATGCACGAATATTATTAAAAATGTTTTGGCACCACACTTCATTCAAGAAATTGTGACAGATTTAGGAGATCAGGAGTACAGTCTCTTAATCGATGAATCGACAGATATATTGGTACTTAAAATGCTTGGTTGGATGAATCGACAGATATATTGGTACTTAAAATGCTTTCGATAAGATATTTCAGCCGATCATTAAAAAAGATAATTTCCACATTCTTGGGATTAGTTGAGATTGAAGACGGAACTGCAGTCAGCATAGTGAACGGCATTAAAGGATTGTTGGCAGAAATAAAAATAAATTTAAAGAAATTGATCGGTATCGGCACGGATAACGCTTCGGTCATGACAGGAACTAACAGTGGAGTGCACGCATTGTTGAAAAATGCAACTGGTAATGACAATTTAGTGTTAGTCCGCTGCGTGTGTCATTCGTTACAGTTGGCTATGTCTCATGCTTCAGCAGAAACCCTACCAAGAAATGTTGAATTTCTTATAAGAGAAACCTATAACTGGTTTAGCCATTCATCAAACCGAAGACTCTTTTACAAAAACATGTTTCAAACGATCAACGGTGGCTCCGTTCCATTGACAATTCCACAGATGTGCAATACCCGATGGATATCAATTGAACCAGCGGTCTGCCGTATTCTTGATCAATGGATAGAATTAAAAACCCTGTTTGAAATTGCCAGGCGAGATGAACACTGCTATACGGCAGAAATACTATATAACATGTATAATGATCCACAGAATCATTTGTACTTATTATACATAAGACCTATCTTACAGGAAGTTCAAGTGGTAAACAAGTTGTTTGAAAGTAACGATGTTGACCCAACAAGATTGTACAATGATTTGATTGGCTTAGTGGAATCGATAGGTCGGCGTATTCTGAACCCAACGGCAAGGGTAGATATTTTAACAGAAGACATAGAAAGCTATTTAGATCCGAAACCATACATGGGATATGCTTTTGAGACCAAATTACTTGAATACAATCTTCAGCCTAATGCAGCAAACTATTTACGCCAACGTTGTAATAATTTCACACTGAAACTTGTGACAGAACTACGTTCGAGATTACCGGTTAATTTTAAAATACTTCAGAAGATATCCATGTTTTCAGTTCAAGAGACTTTAAAAGTAGTTAAGCCATCCATTGTCGAAATAGCCCAAGAGTTCCGAGTTAATGCACCTATGATTGAAAAACTGGTATCTCAATGGAGAAATATAGTTCACATTAAATGGGAATCCTTGACTTCCACAGTAAAGTTCTGGAATGAAGTCATGCAATATAAAGATGCAGCTGATAATAACCCCTTTGCAGAGTTATGTGAGTTTGCAATGTCTCTTATATCATTGCCACATTCAAATGCGGACGTTGAACGTGTATTCAGCCAAATGAGTCTGGTAAAAACAAAACTCCGAAACCGTTTGGCGGTGAGAACCCTGAATGCCATTTTGTACGTTAGGTTCGGCCTAAAAAGAGCAGGAAAGTGCTGTTACTCTTACACTGTTCCAGACAATGTACTACGCAGTATCGGAACCAAAGAGTATTACGACTCCGGCTCTCAGCCTTCCACATCAGCTGATGTTGATGAAGATGAAGACCTTAATATTCTATTCCCTTGATTTAATTTCTCAATAAATACTGATACTTCTTAATTATGTTGGCATTTTTTTTGGCATTTTTTAGAGAAGGTAAGCATATTTTTGGCATATTTTTTACACCAGTCTAGCATATTTTGAAGTAGTTGAGTTGGCAACGCTGATTCCTTAGTAGCCGCTGAGCGGCTGTAGCGTTCAGACGTCTTGTCTGTGCCAAATTTTTGCACTTCCTCTCGCTCTAACATTCCTCTTTCTCTCTCTTTCCCTAATCTTGGTTGCGCATTGTTACGAATTGAAAGTTGCTCTACTTTATTATTTTTTGTATATAATTCTTTAAGGGTTTATAAATCATTTTGTATTTGTTTTATAACTTTTAATTTCGATATGGACCATAAACGTAAAAAATATGCTTGTACCAGAAAACGAAAATTGAAATCAAACGTTGAAGCAATGAACAGAAATAGAATTCAAAGGTAAGTTTTTTTGTGTTTCATAGTAAAATAGTTAACAACGTGCATATGTGTGAGCACTTGGTTAAATATTAGGTATATAATTAGGTAGGTACTTTTAAGAATAGTTTATAAATGAGTTGCATATTTGTAATGCATATAGGTAAATGCTATACAAAGTTACATTATACTTTAATGAGAAACTATAAATATGTGTGATAGTGGACTGTTTGTACTTATATAGAAATTATTTTGAGTTTTTTTTAAATCTATTTTAGTATTTAGAACTACTTGACGTACTTGACGGATTTTCGATAGTGTCATCGACTTATTACGAAACCCTCAGTGCACGACTCGTTCTAGCACTTGCCAGATTCATTTGAATAATCAATAATACGAGTACATGTTATACAGGTTCTAGATGATTATCTTTTAGAAACCTTTTCAAAAAAAACAACAAAAATTATACAAACTTAAAATATTTTTTTTTTGTGTAACGAATTTTGTAATAAAAGCATGGAACAAAAATAGATACGAGGTAGAAAATCTGTATGTGAAAATTTGTTAGCTAATTATCAATAATCCTGTATATTAGATAAATTGATACTGGAAAATCTTAGTAGAGCAACTTTCCACGCTACGGCCAGAAAGATAACTGCGGTGGCGGTACATGAAGTGGCGGGGCAGGGAGGGTGTAGATGTGTCACCAGAACGCAATTTTTCTGTTTTGCTCTGAAAGACTGGGCTCTTAACAATACGGCGCGAGCAAAAAATACTTGCAAGTATGAAAGTACATGTTGTAAGACAGATGCTCGAATAACTTGAACACTATACGTGAAAATATTTGCATAGGAAAATAATCCATATCTTAATAGAAATAAGAAACTCAATCGTATTTGTGAATAAAAAATACTTTGAACTTCAAAGTATTTTTTTTATTTATACGACTTTGCTCCGTATTCATAATAGGATAACATGCAATACGGGTCGAATTCCTATGCAAGTATTTTCAAATTTTGACACCGCGGCTGGACACGTCGCTCGCGTCAACAAATACTTTTAAGTATTTTTAGAACCTGGTTTGTGGTTTTCGACCTTGGTATTTTTCCATACTCGTACTTAAAAGCCCTGGTATTAAATTTTGCAAGTATGTCTCATCCAGGAATGTGAAAAAATAATCGATTATGAAAATAATCGATTAAAAATCGATTGTTTTAAAGTAAAAATCGATTTTAATACGTGATTTTTTTTAAATTAATAATCGATTAATAATCGATTTTTTATAATCATGCAATAAATGCACCCCGACATTACGTTTGGTCTTCTGGCTTGGAGCCCAGAACGCGAACTGCCAAAGAATACTATCATAGCTCCATAATGTTACATTAACGCCATCTGTGCATCTATGATGGCATTCCTTCTGTGCATTTAAAACAGTTTAGATGATTTATTTAATCAAACATTCACTAGATGGAGTTAGTCGATGAACTGTACTATTTTACCGAGTTTCGGTTGATATGTCATTCATTATTCGTTGCTGAAACTTCATTTTTCAAACAAACGACAATTCAAAAGGTTTTCGTGACAAAAAGTTTTTATTGTGTTATTAAAAGTCTCGTTTTTAACAATGTCTACGACTAAAAGAACGACAAGTAGTTGGCGTCAATATTTTCATGTTGACAATAAATCTGGCAATGCTAAATGTAAATATTGCCCTAAAATTTTAAAAAACGTGCAGTAATACTACCAATTTAAAACAGCACACGGAAAGGAAACACTCTGGTATCATTAGTATTGAAAATAAAGAGGTAAGTACCTACAATTTGGATTTAATTACAATTATTAATTACAAAGAAACTGGACCACTTTCTAAACAAATACTGAGTTATCAATGATTAGTTTTCTAATAAATAATTATAATAAGAACACTATTTGCCATAGTACAACATTTTCGTTGCTATGAACCAACCAAATGATAAATCAGGGCCATTCAGGACTATATTTTATAATGCCCGAGGCCCCGAGCATTAAGATTATTGACATGTCAAAGTTTTCATTTTGACAGTTGTAGTTTAGGGTTGGGCGTATACAAATCGGAAGATATACTTACCGATTCAGATAACAAATCGATTTACGATGTAAACAGTGGCTAATCAAGTCAAAATTTAGTTTTATTTTGATTGGCTTATATTATACGAAATATTCTTTTAGTTTAGTGGCCATATGATAAAGGATATCCTTAACCAATTTAATTTTGTTGTAGGATCATTCTGTCAAGTCGGTAAACAATTCGCAGGAAGAATCAATTGCAGACTTGATTTCAAAGCCATCGACATCTACACGTTCTGAAGACTCTGTGAATATGATACTGACTACTTCCGCATCTCAAATTGAAGATCCTGTAGGGTCTTCAACTCCTAAACGACAATAAATAGGCATAGAAGCATCATTCTCAAAAATATTAGAATTTGGATCAGGGGGTTCAAAAAACAAACAGATTACAGACGCTATAGCAGAACTGATATACCGCGATAATCTTCCCTTCAGCGTGGTCGTCGAAGGAGAAGGGTTTGGAAAATTGATTAAATTACTTGCACCGTTATATAAAATCCCATGTCGTAAAACGATAACGAACATCATTGATGGAAAATACGAGGAAAAAAAAGCTATTATAATCAAAAAGTTACAATCCGTTACCAATATATGTTTAACGATTGACGAATGGAAGGATTTACAAATGAAGAGCTATCTGGGAGTAACTATTCATTTTATCAAAAATTTTAAGATTGTTTCTTTCAATATAGCTTGTGAGCCGCTTTCGGAGAGTCATACCGCCGAATATTTATCAGCCACCGTTAAAAATATTTGTGAAAAATGGGAAATTCCTGATGAAAAAATTGTGGCCGTCACTACAGATAATGGTGCAAATATAGTAAAAGCCATTGAATTAGCATTTGGAAGAGCAAAGCATATTCGTTGCATAGCCCACACATTAAACCTTGTTGTGCAAAATTCAGTCATGGTGAATGAAATAAAAATATTCATTGATAAAGTTCGCAGAATTGTACAATGGTTCCATCAGAGCGGAGTTGCTGCAGACCAATTGAGAAATTCTCAAAAGGCTGAAAATGTACCGGAAGGAAAGATTAAATACCTGGTAGGAGATGTTTCAACGCGGTGGAATTCACAATTGCATATGCTTGAAAGGTTTATAGCTATGAGTGGGACGGTGGGCGGCATTTTGTTGAATTACCCTAATGCTCCTCCTATGATTCAAGCTAGTGAAATTGCTGTACTGAAAGAGGTCGTAAAAATTCTCAAACCGTTTGAAAAAGTAAGCGAGGAGATGTGCACTGAAAAATATGTTAGCGCAAGTAAAGCTATTCCTATTATAATGTGCTTGAAACAGTTTTTGGAAAAAACAGATCCATCGCATGATTTGGCCATTCAATTAAAAAATTCAATAATAAATGAATTTAAGAAAAGATTTGAGCACATACAAAAAGTTCATTTATTTAATATTGCAACATTTTTAGATCCTCGTTTTAAAAAATTATACCTTGATGACGGAGCATCTTTGGCAAGAACTATGAACTACATTAAACGATCAATTGAAGAAAACCGAGAACCTGAGGATTGCCCACTGTCAATAACTTCGGCCGCTGATGTTGTCGATAATGATGACATTTGGGAAACCCACAACAAGTTGTTGTTGGAGACTATGAGAACCAGTCGAAGTCGCATTCAGACATCTGAATTAAGCTTGTACATAGCTGCGCCTCTAATAGGATTAAAAGAAGACGCTTTAGAATCCTGGAAAAGCTATGAGGGAGCTTATCCCAAACTCACACATTTGGCGTGTAAGCACCTATTGGTACCGGCTTCTTCGGCTCCAGCAGAGAGATTGTTCTCGAAAGCTGGCGCCGTATTAACAAAGACCAGGAGCCGAATATTATCCAAACGCTTACCTAAGCTGTTATTTCTGAACTCGTTGCCTACGGATTTCTAGTTTTTTTTATATAAATAATTTATTTTGTTGATTTATTTTAATTTGAACCTTTTATAATTTGATTATTCTCACATAATTTGATTTATGTGAAAAAAAATTTTGATTGTTTTAAAACTTTAATTTGTGTTGATTATATAAGAACTTACTGTTTCTGTTGTTTATTTTTAATGAATAAATCTATTGATATAATGTATATCGTCCCCGTAGAGCGAAAAGTCATTAAGTCTAAAAATGGCTAAAATGACTTATCAATGTCACTAAAATCAACATTTTGTTCGCTAAATATCTGTCTTACCGTCATTTTTGTAGCTGCCCACGCTTTTGTTTTACGAAATGTGAAAAGTAAGTAAGTCTACCCTTTGGATCTCAAAGCGTAATGGGAGAAATAACTAATTTAGTAAATTATTATACATTTACCGAAAATTTACATCACCCGAAATTAAAACGACTTAATTACTTTTTTTCTTGTATTATCAATTCATACATAAGATTTTAGATAGTCTAAAAGTCACTAAAATTATTTAGTAAGTTTTCAAAGTCAGTAGTTTGCTAAAACACACAAAAGC